CCTGAACAAATACTAGAACAATATGCATCCAAAACATATTAACAAAGTTTAAAAAAGAACCGGTGTGTGTGTGTGAGTGTGTGTGTGTGTGACACTGGCATTTGTTTTCAGAAGATATTATGATAGTGTCGTTCGTTCCGGTGCACTCCGACAGCATTTAGCACTACATCGAGATTAAGATTAAACTAACTTATTTTGGGAACAGCCGCATATATGGAGTTAGCCATATGTGTGTAAATTACTGTTCATAAACATTTGAAAACAAATGCCGGTGTCGGACAGACACAAACACACCGAACACACAGAGCTGAGCTGAGCAGAGCACAAACAGACACACATCATGCGCCTTGGTGACTGACTGGACATCTCCTTCATAAAACTAATAAAAGGGGGAGTAATCGGGCAGTTCGATGTGTGTAGAGATGTGTGTAGAGGTGTGTGTGGTTAACATGTAGCAGCCTGCAGTCACTCTTAAGCTGTTCTGATGAAGTTAAACACAGCGAAGGCGGTGCGTAAAAAGGCACAGCTCTTTACCCGCTGGTGCTGCACTTCTCAGAGGCGGAGTATACGTCCCGCTGCCTCCTGATGCTGCAGCCATTTCATGAAGTGAAGGAGGGTTTCCTTCTATAAAACAGCTGCGGGCAGCAGATACCGTGAGAGTCCCGGACATTAATTCATAGATCAAGGCAGACTGGTTTACTCTCCTGTTTTGCCAATCCGGTGCTTAAACAAATAGCTCTACACCCCTGGCCGACATGTCCTTAAAATGAAGTCCGAGTTTGAAATATATCTCAAATAATGTATGCACCGCCATTTCCCCACATAAACATAACAGTCTGCAATCAAACGGTTGTCTCCTGTGCGCTCCTCTTCCTACTTGGCGCACCAGTAACATTCTCGTGCGCACAAGAGGCTGAGACCTTAGGCTGAGCCGCCGAATCCCTCGGAACATCATAAAAGCCATTTTCAACGGTTTTCTGGTGAAAGATTAACTAGCTACTGGATGAAATAATATGACTGGTGGCATAGGTGCGAAAATTAAACACTTTTTGAAACAAATATTATGATAAAATATTTTTATATATTTATAATTCTGCAAATATTACGATAAACTCACAGCTATTTCGCGGCCCGGCAGTAACACCTCCGCGGCCCGGTACCGGACCGCGGACCGGGGGTTGGGAACCCCTGTACTATAGGACAGTAACCAAAAATATCGTTTAAACTGGAGAGATAACAAAAAATGCATTACTAAATAAATGTTAACTAGGTAAAATAAGATATGAATGAACAACAAAAATAAAATAAGTTACATTTATTTGTTAGTGTAGGTTATCTTATGTTAATAATAATAATAGCTTGCATTTATATAGCGCCTTTCAAGGGACCCAAGGTCGCTTTACAAGTAATATAGCAAAAACAAACATAACAAAACAAAAGTCAGACAGACAAAACAACAGATCGATTAGGGGCCGAAAGCCTTGGCAAACATATGGGACTTGAGGGCCCTTTTGAAGGCGTCGAGTGTGGGGATGTTGCGAATCTCCACAGGGAGAGCGTTCCAGAGGGTGGGGGCTGCCACACTGTAGGCTCTGTCCCCAAAGGTTCGCAGTTTGGTGCGGGGGGTGGTAAGCAGGCCAGAGTCTGAGGACCGCAGGTTCCGGGGTGGGGCATGTGGGTGAAGGATGTCCGATAGGTACTGGGGGGCAAGGGCATGGAGGGACTTGTAGGTAAGGAGGAGTACTTTGTACGATATACGGGACTTGACCGGCAACCAGTGTAGGTGGATGAGGGTGGGAGTGATGTGCTGCCACGGCTTTGTGTGTGTGAGTACCCTAGCAGCACAGTTTTGGACATACTGGAGCCTGTCCAGGTTTTTTTTGGGAACCCCGAACAGGACACCATTGCAGTAGTCCAAGCGGGGTGGTGACAAATGCATGCACTAGGGTTTCGGCAACCGACTCCGAGAGTGACGGTCGGAGTCTGGCAATGTTCCTCAGGTGGAAAAAGGCCGATTTGGTCACAGATTTGACGTGGGAATGGAAGGAAAGGGTGGAGTCAAGGATGACACCCAGGTTGCGGGCTTCAGGAGATGGGGAGATGGAGCAGCCATCGACCTCGAGGATGAAGTCACCAACCTTCTGGAGCAGGGCCTTGGGTGCCACAACCATGAGCTCTGTGTTATTGCTGTTCAGCTTAAGGTAGTTGGAAGACATCCATGTTTTGATGTCATGCAGGCAGTTGATGAGGGACTGAGGGGGGAGCTGGGAGGATGGAGTGGTGCTGAGATACAGTTGGGTATCATCAGCGTAACAGTGGAAATTGAGTCCATGATGTCGGATGATCTGGCCGAGGGGGAGCATGTAAATGGTGAACAGGAGGGGGCCAAGCACAGAGCCCTGGGGTACACCGTGGTGGACTGGGGCCAGGGGTGAGTTTTAGCCACTGATGGAGACAAACTGTTTCCTGTTATGGAGGTAGGATGTGAACCAGGACAGCGCTGTGCCAGTGACACCTAGGAGGTCTGAGAGGCGGGTGAGGAGGATGTTGTGAGAAATGGTGTCAAACGCTGCAGAGAGGTCCAGGAGGATGAGGATGCTGAGGCGGCCAGAGTCAGCAGCAATGAGGAGATCGTTGGTGATCTTGATGAGGGCAGTCTCAGTGCTGTGTTGCTGTCTGAAACCGGATTGGAAGGGCTCATAGAGCTCATGGTTGGACATGTACAGATGGAGTTGGCCGGCGACCACTCTTTCCAGAGTTTTGCTTAGGAAGGGAAGGTTGGAGATCGGCCGGTGGTTCTGGAGGTCGTCGGGGTCCAGGCCAGGTTTTTTGAGTATGGGGGTGACTGAGGCCATTTTGAAGCTGGTGGGGACTATACCAGGAGCCAGAGAAGCGTTGATGATGACCACCATGTAGGGACAGAGGGTGGGTAGGCAGTCCTTGACCAGGGCTGTGGGCATGGGGTCCAGGGAGCAGGTGGAGGTCTTGGCCGAGCTGACCAGTTTGGCCACTTGAAGAGCATCCACAGGGGAGAAGGAGGAGAGGTTGGAGTGGGAGAGGCGCGGCGCTTGGGGTGCGTTACCAGGTGGCTGAGGTGCAGGCAGGGGGGGAGGGCCATTCGCCAGGAGCTGCTGGTGGATGGCCTCGACTTTTGCCTGGAAGAAGTCGAGGAATTTGGAGCACAGATCGGGAGCCCCTGAGGGCTGGGGGGCGTCAGGGGGGCGGAGTAGGCGGTTGATGGTGGAGAACAGTGTTCTGGGGTTGCTTTGCTGGGCACCGATGAGACGGGATATTTGCACCGTGGCCAATCACAACCTTGTTACGCCACTGCCTGGCATATATATATTTTAACTATGGATGTCAATGTTAACACAGCTTGAGATTCATCTGGAAACTTTAACCTGTTAAGCCCGAGAGACACTCCCGCAACATCTTGCAGGAAACAGTGTCTGAGGGCATGTTCATTTAATAAACTACGAATGTTTTATATCCATGTAACGGGAAGAAACTCATCTAACTGATCATTTTTATTTTTTTTTCAAAATAAAACCCACAATGCTAACGCTGAGCCTCTGAATTAGCAACGAGCAAAAAATGCTAACAGATTACTGCACTGAAATTCACTCACAAAACCTTATTATTTATCTTTTCTGCACATCCAACACATCGTTTCACATCGTGAGGTGACACAGAATCGATGGGTGCATACATTATCACTCCATGATACGAACTTGCGAATTTAGGTAGTAATGCTAGGTAGCTAAAAACGCTAACATGGTTTACCTGTGTCGTAGTCTGGTCAAAAGTGGTCTTCAATGGCATTAAAACGATAAAAACGCTGCTGAAGTTAATCCATAGGTTAATCCAATGTGTCTGTGTCCCTTTTAAATGATTTCTGATAATCCATGAGCAGTAAACCTGCTTTTCCGTTTCCAGATGTCAGAGCTAGAGTATAGGTTCGCTCTGATGCAAAACTGGATGCGCGAAGCCCTCACCTTATTTTTGTACCATGTGTGTGAGAGGGGAGATTCCCCTTCGATTCTATTGGCTCTAACGGTCAGAAAGAGATGTCAATCACCAAAATCGACCAATGGGTTCCAGAGAAACGGTAAAACCCCCATTTCCACCCAAATCACCTCAGAGGTGGAGTTTCTTTTGCTAAACCTCTCTAAAAAGGTCAAATGTCACTTGTTTTGCATCAATCTTGATACAGGGTACTTATTATATGTTGTACTTTGGATTCCTAAAGCTTTTAGTCTACCTTACCATCATCCAAGGGTAGTTTTCACTATAAGTAAAAAATAAATTTTGGACGGACACTATAATTTACAGTTTTTTACTATGTTCAATCTGAATTTTCTTTAAAATAAAAAACATCTATATTGTTCTGACTTTTCTACATCCAACTCACAGGTTTATCATTACTTTGAGAAAAAAGATTATTAGTTTAACCCTTTTAGAAGGGAAGATATGGTCATTTGTTCTGGGAATGTCATTTTCGAGCCTGATACCTGAAAAACAGGCTCAGGGCTAAACAGGTTAATGCGTTAAAAAAATAAACGCAAATGTATTACATTACCAAGTTTGACTCCAGCTTCTTCCCATAATTCCAGCGTGGATGAATTACATAACAGTGATAGGAAAATGATTTATCTCCCCCCAAAATACAAGTAAATACTACTAGTATTTTGAACTTGATTTAATTATGATTATTCAGAGATTATTATTGTGTTAAACGCAGTTAATGTTTTTAACTATTTATGATTTCCCCCCCCAAAATATTTAGAAATTTTGAGCACGTTTGAATGGGTGTTACTACATCATGTCGCCACCCCGTCCGGACATTTCTGCGGTCGCCCCTGGTTACCACTCATCACCGGTCATTAGTGCACACACCTCCCGCGCTGCGCGAGGCCCATGCAGTAGCTGTCAGATGCGTGTGCGAGCTTCAGAAGCTCACTGAGCAGAGAGTGAAAGCATCGCGCGGCACCTCTCTCCGGCTGTTTGACACTTGGATAGGACTGTCTGCGTCCCAACATGAACCAAACTGCCACCGTATCACACCAAGTGAAATGCCAATCTACGAAGACCATCAAGGTAAAGCTTTCTGAATGTTTCTCCTTGGCTGGAATGAACTTAAGCTGTTTAATATAACTCAGCTGCAGCTCTGTGGCAGCTCCAAACTTCAGTGCTACTTTGGTGATATATATGCGCATTGATGCACAGCGCTTTGGAGATGGGTTGGGGATGTCAGCATCCTCATCATTCAAAAGTAACAATTTGAAACATTTACATTCTGACATGAAAGTTGTCACCTGGTTGCTTTGGCCGTGTTTGAATGAGTGGGCTCCGGTTCTCGCATGTGTTGGATGAGGAGCCACTGGCGCATTGGCGAGATTTCATTCACATCACGTCGTGCTCCTTATTCTTTTGTTATCTTTGTGGTCAGACAAGACATGATAGAGGCTTTCTTCAAACAGATTTCAGGTTAGTCTCCACTTCTGCTCCGATATGGCGAAACAAATGCATTTTGAGGCATCAGTTGCTTAACTTTGTCGTGCTTAATCTGAGAAAACCTGGTCTTACATCCTGATTTTCGACCTGTTGTGACAGTGAACACATGTTTCCGCATGTTATTAAAGTGGATACAGTGAGGCATCGGCAGGAGGTGTAATGGAATGAAACCCGGTGTTCTCTCATCGAGTCACGATGGAGAACCGTCTCTGCGCGGCAGCATCCGCATTGTGTTCACACAGTGCACCTAAACCTGGGCTCAGGCACAGAGGTGTGTGTTGGTGTGCGCGCAGTGGCTTGCATGCCGTGTGTGTGACTCAACGGCTGTGTATCGATGTTGCCGCGAGTTCTGTATCACTTTTTAACCCCGAAGTCCCACCAGAGAAATGTAGCTTGGGGCAAATGTATCGATCCAATTCCCCACTATGTCCCAAAAGACTTCAATTTTGGAGAACAAGGTTGACTAGAATTAGTGGAGATCACCTTCTTGAAATATGGTTGGAAAAATGTAATTGGTTATCTCGTGATATTTAATTTTGTAAGCTGTTTGGAATCAGATAATGTGTTAACCAACTTCCTGCTGGTGTGTGTTTCTGATGCCTCTCTGTGACCCCTGAGCTGAAACTGTTCATCTGTCTCTGTCTGCTGGTGTTCACCAGAGCCCAGCATTCAATAAAGCCACAGAATAGGATGCTCATAAAAGCCATCGGGCTGTGTTTCAAATGAGGCTGCGGCTTTCACACTGCATGTTTCAGATGCAGCCAGGCGTCATTATGGGATGCATTCAGCGGCTATGTTGAATATGTCTCAGAAGTCGAACCCTTTCTTCATTCATTTTTTTAAGATCAAGTAAGCAAATTGATATGAATTATGCATTTTAATTTTCAATGATATGCCCTTCATTACTTAGCTGACACTGATTATGTTTACATGCACTCTTATATTTCACTATTCAGAATTAGAAAATATTCAGAATCTTTAATCTTCATTTGTGAGGTCTTTGTATGAGACAAGTATCTGATGATCACACATTGTGGACAGATTTCCATAGCTGTGGAATTTTGAGGGAAAAAAAACCCAAACTGTAAAATAACAACATTTTTGAAAACTATACCTCAATTATTAATATGTTCTGGTAGTCATGTCTAAAAGGGAATCAATCAAAATTAAAAAGCATGTTTAGTTATTGTCTTTACACTCTAATCTGCTTCATTAGGACCGTGTGTGACTGGAATGCTTTAAATCAATGTGGATCAATGGAGGGATTGACGCTGACACTGAAAAGTAAACAGTGCTGAATTCTTTAAAAAAAATTAAGATTATTTTTTAATGTCCTTTTTTTATTATAAATCCATAATTATGATGTTGAAAAAGAACCCTGTAACATACGTGTGTCTCCAAGGACTTTTGTTTTTAAGTGACAGAAAATAAGGATGTGAAGCTAAGTTCTGTGTTTTTAGGAAAATAGAAGAATTAAAGGATTGAAAGAGCTTGATATACGGACACACATGAGCAAATAAAAGAACGAGATTTTCTGTTCACAACTGTAAACATTCTTATCAATTCATTTCAGGTTTCTGAACACTGAGCAACTAAAAAACACAATATTCTACAGGTTCAGACTTGCTGAGCCAAATGTGATGTTTGCTTTGTCCGACAGTGACAATAAACAGATCTGGAATAACATCAGCTGTGAATATTCAGGCTTATATTATAATGCCTTGAGGGTTGCTGTGTGTAAAAAGGAACATTCTGAATCTCTGTGTTTCAAGGAAAGATCAGTAGATCTGCACGATATGTGAAAGATATGATAATAATAATAATAATAATAATAATGGGTTTAATTGATAACGCACTTCATATTTGAGTTCAGATCCCGAAGTGCTACAAGCATTAAGCATGGAACAAAATAAAAACAGTACACAACACGGTAGAATGAATAAAAAAGCAGTAAAAAAACAAACCAAAAAATAAATAAATAAAAGGGTAGTAATAAATAAAATAAAAGGTCTAGGAAAAGGCTCTATTGAACAGATGGGTTATTAGGCCTTTTTTAAAAGCCTCCATGGTCTGTGGTGCTCTCATGTGCTCGGGGAGAGCATTCCACAGTCTGCATGATGTGTCTTATACAGATGCCTTGCGCCAACGGCCACTGTCTTATAGGGGTGTAACGGTATACGTATTCGTACCGAAATTATTCGGTATGGGCCCTTCGGTTCGGTACACTTCGTGTACAGAACGAATATAACGTTAAACGTAAAAAATTGAGAACGTGATCAACTTTTTGGAAGTAATCTCAGGTGCTGCGTCGCAGCGTTCAGTGTAATTTGCTCACATTGGGTTCAACGCGTCATAGAGCGACCAAGTCATTTCATTGGACGAGAGGCATACTATGAGAGCTGGTCACAGGGATGCGTTCAAATTTAGTCAGTAATTTGAGGAACTGTCGAATTGGCGAACGCAGATTAAGTTGAGCTCGAAAATCCTCCAGCATCATTGAAGTCTCCGGTTTGGGAACATTTTGGTTTCGCAGTTACGTACAAGGATGACGGACAAAGACAGGTGGACCGAACCAAAGGTGTTTGTCGGCATTGTTCAACTAAAATTGGTTACGCGGCTGGCAATACACACTCATTTGAAAAGGCATCACCCGAACGTGAATATCACCGGTACCAAAAGAAAAATGACTGAAGTGCAAACCCAACTCCCACTAGCATTTAAGCCTCCACCACTCGCAAAAAGTTCAGACCGAGCCAAAGCTACTACAAACGCCAAATATCCTTATGTTGCCATGTTAGCAAAGCGCTACCTGGCTGTATCTGCTACCTCTGTCCCGAGAGAGAGGGTGTTCTCCACAGCAGGAGACATTGTTAGTGCCAGCAGATCTGCCCTTTCGGCAAGCAATGTGGACAAGTTCATTTTTCTTAAAAAAAACATGAAAATACAATGACAAGCAAGCAAGTGCTAATGTCAAGCTGGCTGCTTAGGTACTAGTACAGTACAGTTCAAATACAGATTATTTCAGTTCATCGAAATGCTGCACCTTAATGTTTATTTGATTATATTTTGTATTTATTTGAGTGAATACATTATTCACAGTTTAATAATAATTAAAAACCCCCAGAAAATATTTTATGTTTTGTGATCATTTTTTCTGCTGTACCGAAAACGTACCGAACCGTGACCTAAAAACCGAGGTACGTACCGAACCTAAATGTTTGTGAACCGTTACACCCCTACTGTCTTAGCATCGTTATTCAACGCATTGAGAATGAGACCAGGCTGCGAAATCTGTGTTGTGAGAAACCTCCCCAAAACTATAAGGATTGGTTGGGCCTCTGCTGAAGCTCGGCATGATGCATTGCCTTCAGCGGCGAACATGTCTCAGAAATCAGTGAAACAAACGGGGATCATAGTCAGGATTAAGTACTTTAAAACTCCTCTGTGTTGCACAAAAAGCGCTAATCTCTTCATGTCTGACCTCCGTCTTCTGGCACTGAGGTCTTAACGGCTCTCTGTTATCCTCTTAAATGCCCCTTTTTCATATCATAGCTGTGTCCCTATGCCACAAGCCCAGATAAGAAATCCAATTAGGTTGCGGCAGCATTTTTCCTGTGCCTTAACTCCTGGGGTCTAGCTGAGTTTAACAAGGCTGGATGTAGCCCGAGGCACGTGTCATCGGCGGTCCTTGGAAGTGTCAGGTCCACCCACATGCAGATTGCAGCTTTAAAGTCAGAGGAGCAGGGAGCTGTGGCAGCGCTGCTCTCACAGCGTTGGGAGGTTGTCTGAGAGAAGGTGCAATATTTCCCAAGCTGTGCTGTAACATTGTGGGTCTACACAGAATTAACACAGCGGGGATCTTGACAGAAAGTTTGGGTAAGAGCGACAGTCTGTAATTTATGTAAGTGCCGAGGACTGAGCCTTTTTTTGTGAAATATCAATTTTAGGATCCTGTTTCAAGATGACAATATAAAGTACATCTGAGCGAGATGGCTGTATCCAACACCCACTACCTCCCGGCCATTTATAGTCATCACTTTCAAGGTTCTTGACTGACAAAAACCCTGGAACTGAAAATTAAAGTGGCATGAAGCCTTTAAGCAGGGGCACAACAGTGTCTTTCATTAAAAACAGATGTTCTGCTTGATAAAACCTCTACCCGAGGAAACAAGTACAGTTTGTGCTCCACGGGCTGGATGCCTAAAAAACTGTGTAGGTATACTACAAAAAAAAAGTGTGTCTGCATATGTCTGTCTTTGTGCATACAGATTAACTGCTGCATAGGCATTATTCCGTTTTATCACTCTGGATCTGCAGACAGATCCCCCGCAGAAAATCAGTCCTTTGTATTGTAACATGTTCTTTAGCTCCACTTAAAAATAAACTGACTATAACTGATATGCGTGGTTTTCTTTCTGGAGAAACTGTACTGTAACGAGTATTCAATGTATTATAACAACAAATGGACAGTTTCACAAAAAGTATATGAAATTAATTCATCAGAAATAGATATATTATTCAATACATTTTTTCATCTTTTCATAACCTGGCGCCTAAATTACCCAGAGGTCCGAGTTGACTGC